CTGTACAAACTGTACAAAATGTTGTTGGCCTAACATGATGAGGAAGAGAAGGACAAATGAGAAAACATAAAAGACCATGATGATGAGGGCAGAACATATCTTTAAAAGATGGATTTCAATACTTTACAAATTTCGGGAGCTACTTTTCAAGCTTGCTGGCATGAAAATAACACAGTTTAATTTGTTTTGCATTGCACTCTATGCATATTTTGGGGGGCTCTTTTTGGCATTTCGGGGGCTAATTTGCCCCGAGCCCCGTGTATTTTTTTCCCTGATTTCAGAGATGGTTTAGAATTAGAATACTGCTTCAACTGAGTGAAACTTCCTAAGACACAGAGAGAATGGGTATGATGAAGAGAAACAGATTGATCAAAACTATTGAAAAGACGTCAGAATTGATTGGTTGAGGGTAGATTTCATTCCAAATAGATCAATATTGAGGAGAGGTCAGGGGAGGTCATGGGCAGTGAAGAGGCTTTTCTATTGATTGATCTTAGAACTCATATCAGAGGAATTCATCATCACATAGGATGATAGGAGAAGACCAATGTGTACAGCATGTTGAGATGTAGGTTCAGTATGTGGGGTATATATTTAATAAAGATTTGTTAAGGGGATGTCCAGCATAATGTTCAGTTTGTTTTCATGAAAGCAGAATAATTAGAGAAAAAAAATCAGCGAAATTTTAAACAAACTCTGATTAAAAAGGAGGAGGTTATGGATATTTGAAGATGTAATCGATGAGACACAAATTGAGAACTCTTCACTTTCTCTGAACTACAATGTAACAAAATTTCTGTCAATCTGAAATCCCTTCCTTCCTTCCCCTCCCCCTCCCACTTTCTTTCTCTCCTTCTCTTTTCTCGCTCTCCCGCCCTCCCTCTTTTCATGCCTTCATCTCAATATTTATTTATCATTTCCAAAACTAAAACCTAAATACATGTAAATGCCACAAATCCATACAATCAAAATTATGAATTAAATTCAACAGTGCCTGCTTATCTAAAAGCCATCTAGATTAAACAAAAAGAGTCAGTGTTTGACAATAAATGTAAACACAAAGCAATTTACTGTAGACACTGTCTCCTGTTATTGACATTCCTAAGGTGCTGATTACTACATAATATTAATATTTGTTAGGGATATTTGTTCAGCACACGAGGAGAGCAAACACCATTAAGAATCTGTCAAATAGGTTTATGATAATACTGAGGCCTCTACAAGATGACAGAATGATAGAGATTAATCACAAAGGAAATTTATTCTATGAGGAAGGTACGTCGCAGAAGGGCCAAAAAAAACATCCATTCTATTTATTTTATATTTTTAAGAGTTGATCATGCGTTAATGAATTACAACCTTCAATCAACATTTTCAAGTAAGTATCAATAAATATATATGCTCTCTAAATGTTCAGTTTGTTGGTTGAATGCTTAGCTCACATGTGCATTTAAATGGGTAGTCCACCCTGATATTAGGTTGGTTTTAATAGAAGCAGAAAATGAGAGAAGCTGGTCAGTGAAAAGTCATGAGCAAATTCTAATTAAAAAGAAGAAACTTGTGAATTTTTAAAAGTTGCGATCACTCAAACATAAACTGGCAACTTTGTGACATTTCTTGCAAGATTCTCTATTTGTTCTTTACTTTAAAAAATCAGAAATGTTTTATTTTCCCTAAAGAGAATTCTTGATCATACACGCATCCTAAATATAATTGTTGCAAACATGTTTTGATACAATCCTTGTATGGACAAATCTATTTTGTTATTCTATTAAAGAAAATTAAAGTTTATGAAACGTACTGTACGTGAAGCAATTTGGAGAGGAGCACGTAAGTGACAGTGTTGTCAATTTGTGTTTGATTGATCACAACTTTAAAATTTAAATTGTCTCATTTTTAATTTCTCACTTTTTGTTTCTATTTATTAAAACCAACTTTATATCAGGATGGACTTCCCCTTTTATAACTATTTTGTTTTAAATTGCAAAATCTGCTGGTATTTATTTCTGTCTGCAGCACCCTGCAGCCCCCCCCCCCCCCCCAAGTGAAATTGAGGTGAGCTTAGTTTGAATTTGACAGGTTCTTTCAATTTTTATTTTAATATAAATTTTTAAAGCCTAAACAATGCTTATTTCATGTACTAAAAACAAACAAAAAATGCATGTACAGCCTTACGTTTAGGCCAAGACCATCATTCCATTAAAATTCATTTGAGACAGCAAAACATCATCATACTGTCACAATCGAACATGTCTATATGATTCTATACATCGGATATACATGTAGACATTCCATAATGATACAGTAATGAAAGAATTTTCAACACCCCCACAATAAACCCCCAAAGAAAAAGAAAATAACATAGAGCAGCTCTCTATTTATCCTAGCATTCTGGCCTTGGCATTCTATTAGTCTGCGCATACAGACTTTAACATGACGCTTATCTACAATTCTATAGAGTCTTGAGCTGAGCCTAGCTCTGATACTCTCTGGTTTATATCAGGAGTAGTGTACAGCCCATCTAGAGCGCAGTGAGCCCCCTAAATTTGATAGCAAATTTTCACTTAAATTGTATCATAATGATAAAGAGGATGACATTTTAGTCAAGTTTCTTCAAGGATTTTCAAAACAAATGTGTTTGAAGCAAATAATGATGAAAGAGTACAAAATTTAGGTTTTCTGTGTATAACAGAAAACCCATCAATGTTATTTTTTTTTCTTCAAACACATTTTTTTTTTGGGGGGGGGGGGGAATCTTTGCAGAAGTGTGTCTTAAATGACATCCTCTTTCACATTGAAATGTTGCCATCAAATTGTTGGTGAATTTGGGGCTCCTAACACTTTAGAGGGGCTTTAAGCACAGAGACTATGTAGTGCAGAAAACTAGGTAGTCTACAATAGTCTCACCGTTCAGACCCTCTACCAAAACACAATGACTGACAAGGGTCCAGTGAAAAAAATGCACGGGGGTTCCGGGCGAATTAGCCCCCGAAAAACTAAAAAGAGCCCCTGAAAGTCGTAAAAGAGCCCCCCAAAATTCAATGCAAAACAAATTAAAGAGTGTTATTTTCATGCAAGCAAGATTAAAAAGTAGCCCCCGAAATATTTTTTCCCTGCAAGGGTCTGTGCTTGTAGACTAGTTGGTTGAGAAATAATATTATGGCTGGGGGCGTGTGAAGACTCCTTGACTCCCATACCAGTTGCTTCATTCCATTGTTATTCATCCATTGTGTTAGGAGTCAGAGGAAACACACTTCCCTCCTAGCTTTCCCATCATTCCTCTGCATGTGTACTGCCATGTATGTAAACAATGTGCTTGGCTAGATTTACCTCTCACAATTACAGCATTTCATCAAATATAATCCAATTTATCTCTTCTTCTTTTTTTTTTTTTGGCAATAATACTTTTTTGCTACTACCGGTATATACCGTAATTAACGTTGTATAAAGTGCCCCTCTTTTTCGCCCGACTTTTTTTTTGCTGACTTATAAAACAGTAGAGGACCTAGGATAGAACCTTGTGGAACGCCGTGTAATAGAAGAAAAATTGGAGGAATTATTATTATAAACTACATAATAAGATCTATCAGAAAATACTACTTTCAAACCAAGATGACAGACAAATTTGAGTGTTGTTCTAGTTTCCGAGTGGTGAGTCAACACACCGATTACTGAGCTGGGTGACATTGCCAGGCATAGTAAATACAGTAAATATTAAAATGTTAGTCTTCAGACTTCTGCCAGTTACTTTTTTAATGATACAGGGTACAACTGAAATTGAATTGAATTGAATTGAATCAAGGCAGATGACGTTACTGTAATACGCTTAGGACCTTTGCTTTGCGCAGTCGCCAATCATATAGATGCACACATTGTAAAAGAAATGACTGTAGTTTACCACTTGAAATCTGAACAAGCCTCAAGTGCACAAACACGTTTTCAAATTAATAATAGGCAAATACAAATGAAACTAACTTTAGTTTAATAAAAAGAGATGTGCCCAAGTACTTGAAATCCATTGTATTTCCAACATGTTGTGGAAAGATAGATAATAGTCTAGAATCTAATTATAACATTGAGACGCTTTAAGAGTACTTTATTGATGCCAATTATCATTCAATCATAGAACGGAGCTGAGAAGTATCAACATTCATTAGTGCTAAATTTATCTATTTCTCTGGTTATGTTTTTGGTCATGGTAATCATTAGAACCAATCATAGTTTCACTTTTGCATTGAACAATAGAGGAAGAGGATATATCCTGTGCGAATCAGACCTCATCGACAATGAAAATGATAACAAGATTTGTTATTAAAGGTACACCCAACAGTTCCAATACTACGAGCACACACTGTGCACAATGAATAAATTCATGAGCCCATCTCAAAATTGTGAAATGTTGAGGTCCGGACGAAGATTAGGGGTTCACATAGTCCTGGATGCCATTAGTCTTGAGCCCTACCTCACGAAAACCATCCACCTCTACTGGGATTATAATCCTGCCTGGATAGTAATGAAATATACCATGACTTAACAGCTAATCTATGTGAGATTCAGGGATACCAGACGGTTTCATCCAATGAGCTTGAGAGGAGTCACATACTGTATGTGCTTTACAAAAATGAAGCCTGGAATAGTGGAAATGGGGAGGTGTCAAGCCCGGAAAACTAGCATCCCTGGACGTAGGAGAGCACCATAACAAACAGTACTTATGTAGTGCATATCACAATGTCTCTATGCGCTGTAAGAAAGTGTAAGAAGGAAAGGTGTATAGAGGAACATAAGAAGAGTGAGATACATGTATGCTCAACATACTCTCTCGTTAAAATTGGAAAGTATTTTTGAAAAGAAATGTTATAAGACGCGCATTAAAGTTGTCAACTGTATCACATTCTGGTAATTTATTCCAAAATTCGGCAGATGCAACCTGAAAAGTGACAACTTCTACTCAAAGATGACAGACTTTTAATATTTACTGAAAATGAAGCTCAAATTCTTACCTTCTTGTCGCCTAGCAACCGTACAATGTACTGCCGAGTGGAATCCTCTACCCGATCATGGAGTAGGTTCTCCTCCCCGTTCTCTATGGATCTCTCTGCTGCTGAGCGTAGTTCTGTGATGAGTCTTGGGACGTCTGCATGTGATCCGTTCTCTTTGGGATGTGTGATGTTGACTTGGTTGTTGGTCACTACAGGTCCGTTGTCATAGTCCATGCCCTGTATTCTGCTACCTGGTCATGTCACAAAATAAAATCATAAAATTCATCATAAATTGAGGGGCACATGCACATTATAAATAATTATCTATATGTACATCGTTTTCTATTGATAAATGCTATATTGTATTTTCTATCATTTGTATTTTCACTGTCAAAAAAGCCATTGGAATCAAAATTTCTATGTAATGTTTACATGCATGGACCAATAAAATAATCTTAAATCTTAAAAAAGTGCAATCTGGATTTCATTTGAACCATCTAAAGAATTGTTCTAGACAAGTTATGAGCATGAACCGTTCCAAATAGCCCGCTATTTCTGATTTGGGAAATTAGCCCACAGTTACGAATTGTGTCTCCATCAGCTCGAAACTTGAGCTAGAGAAATTTGCTCAGTGCTGGCGCATAGTGTGAGTCTTCAGGCTGGTGAAGACAGACCGGAAAAATTGCAGGCTATTATGCAAACTAGCCCAAGATATCTTGGGAAAATTTCCTGAGTGAACAGCACCAAATACCCTGCTATTTTGTGTTCGGGCTGATTTCCAGAATCAGAAATAGCGGGCTATTTGGCCAACTGAAGTTGATGAAGACAGGCATATAGTTTGTAAATGGTACACATTCTCAAAACCTTCATGCTGAGAAATGATTGGAAAACAACACTAAACTTGGGCTACACTGTATTTGCAAGAGCTCCTCGCATTTTCAATGAGCATCATTAATGGATAGCTATTAAAAATTAAATGGCGCTAATGATTTTCAGTTTCGGCTTAATTGATCACCTATTCAAATAGATTCTTGATACATGTACAATAGCATTGGGATGTTTTAGTACCAGCAACAAACATAAACAGATCATAAAAGCTGTTGAACCTGAACCTGAACCTGAAAACTTATAATTATTTGAAAGAAAATTTAATGTAATTACATGTGTATTATAAATTAATAACAAGATTGACATGTACATGTGCATGTACACTGCACTCAAACAAAGATTCATGCAGTACAATGCTCTGTTTTCAGTTTGTGCTAAACTGCTAACTAAATGTACCGTACATGAATTCATACTCTAATTTTGTCAAAGTTTGTGATTGCAATGACAACAACATGAAATATGTACTCACTTCAAATTCACTCTCCCGACTGATTTAATATAATGTAAAACAACCAAAAGACCAATCAATAGTGATTATATTCCAAAGTTTAGCACAGAGTGACACTTCCGGCAGGAAATCCCAAATGTACATGAATGTGTGCTACATGTACATTATACAATGTAGCATGTTCTACTGTATATCATGCCTCAACAATTGCCACTATGTTCTGGTGACTTGCTTTTGTGCACATAGTAAGAGTCGCATCCCAGTCGTGTATTGTGTAAAATGCGTAGTTTGGAACCAGAATGAAGCTAATTCCTGTATTATAGCCCTGAGGCCTGGCCTACTATCTCTCTCTCTCTCTCCCTCTCTCTCATGCATGACATTACAGTGTGAATAGATGGTATGCAGGCTAATTAACAGTCGATCCGCAAGAGAGATTGATTTGATTTTAAAAACAAAATTTATCAGTCAGTGAGGGGTTTGTTTTGTATGTACATGTGTTTCCTGTCCTGCTGTTTGTATGTACCTTATCTGTTTGTGTAGAATGTCTGTCCATTTTAATATGTACCTGTACATGTATTTATCTGTTTGTCTTAATATGTCTGTCAATACGGTATCTATCTGTTTGTGTATTTACTAAATATGTACTGTTTGTATTTGTCTTTTTGTGTCACTCTCTTTTCTGTTTATTAATCTGTAAGTGACATGTAGGTTTTGTCTATTTCTCGGTCTCTCTGTTTATCTGTTGATAAGTCAAGAATTGAACCAATAACCTCTCATAACAAACCATATTTGATGCATCACATAACTTTTCCTATCTTGACAGTTTGATGATTCTATGATTATCCCAAAAAAGTTTTTGATAACAAATCATGAATGTTGAAGGATCAATGATTTGGTCACCTGAAAATAAATTTTAATAAAATTCTGATTAGTGTATTACAAGTTAAGTATTCAAATTAAAATACTTTGCTAACAATGCTTTCACTCCCGATAATACATGCTGTGCAAAAGAAGACAAAATATTATCACAAATGGAGGCTTTTGGTATTCATGCGGTAGCCTTACTGAAAGGGCTGTTAATATATATATTCTTTCGTCAAAAAAGGAAAGGGAAAGAAGAAATGATTGAGATTGCCTGAAGCGGTAATGTCACTGTGATGAAGTGCCGGACTACTTTCTCATTTGTTTCAACACACAAAATTATTAAAATGTGTGATTCAGGAGGGTTTTTTTTCTTTTTCGTAAGTGACTTATGATAATGTGCTGTCCATGATATATTTTATGTAGTGCCAAAGGGAGAAGGCATTTAGGAGACAAAAGGAAATTAGTTATATTTTTGTACACGACAAACAGGGAAGTTATCAGTGAGCAATCCACTGACCAATTGCCAAATCAAATCAAATCAATTTGAGACTTCAATGGATTTAGTGATTCATAACTCCCTTATTATTGGCTGGGTTTATTTTCTGTATCTCATATTTGTACCTGTACTGTATGCTTCCATGCCAATGAAGTTTTACAAGGATTGGATTGCCCTTTAAAGATGCATGAAACAGAGGGGTGACAGGGTCTGAGATCATTCAAAAACCTGAAAAATAGCAACCCTGAACATTAGATGCAAGCTTGCAAAGAATAGCACAGGACAAATGATGAATATGACAATATAGCGAGTCACAGGAGAGTATTAATTACATCCACATGCCTCATCAGTTAGGGGTAATCCCCTTTAACTTCCAAGGGTAATCCCCTCCTCATCATACCAGTATTAGTTGATGACAATGGCATAGCATGCATCCAACCATTCAGGGGCACTGGCATGACTGAGGGTAGGGGCATCAATCGTATTGGAAAATGAAATGTTAATTTATATGTACTGATGCGGGTGAGGTTCCAGGAGGTGGTGTTTTTATGGACTTTTTCCCCCTCTCACTTTCCATTTCTCTTTTTCCTTGATTTTTTTGTTTCCTTTTTTTTACCATTCCATGAGAGGGACGGGTACCACCCCCCCCCCCCCCAACCCCTTAAGGATTCATGACTAGGCTCCTCTATCTAAAGGGAAACTGAGGAAGTCTTTCTTTTTGAAATATTATATATCTACATTTATCATTCTAACCTGTCTTTGGTGCCATCATTATTATTTGCGTGAGACATATCCGACCACTGCCCCCTACCCCCCCCCCCCCCCCCCCCCCTCCAAAGTAAAACCCTAGGTGCAGTGTCCTAATACCTCAGTCATACCAACGAGACCGACACCTGACCGACAACAGATCAGACAACAATTGCATCTCCACGAACAGCCACGAATCGGTCGGTTTGGAGTCGGTTTAGCAGTGTGACTGAGGTATTACTGACATTTCAGCAGGGATTCTCAGTTGACAGGATATGAATCAATGCAGTGAACCACATGAAAGATCCTTAAATCCAACCTAATATTCCTTACTCATCCACCAACAATGATACACAGCATTGTCATATCAAAACTACAATAGAAGCAAGATACCAAATGAACTCTCTTGTTTATAGCTCTTTTTTCATTTTTTTTTTTTTTCATAACGAGCTATTAAACTACAGTAATAATATCTTACCTGCAATAATATCATCCATCTGCTCTAAGGCAGCAGCCAGCATCTGGCTTGCATCCGATGCTAGATTTGTCATCTTCGTCGCTATGTCAGAGACTAAAAGAATCCAGAAGGTACCTATACAAGAGAAGAAGTAAGTCATCAAATGGAGCTAGAAGCTTCAAGAAAAGATTTAGTTTTGGTCAAGCGATTGCATCGTGAAAGAAACTCTCTAGAAACTATTCTGAATGGACGAGTATGTAACACAAATGACTATTATCATGAAGTTTTGGAATCACCCAAATATTAAAGAAATTGACTCAATCATGCTAAAAATCAATAATATGAATTGCAATGCACACTGATGAAGCTGCAAAATTTGGTCCAACGGTGTTTATTGTGATATGGTGACCAAGAGGGCACTTTGTGATTAATCCTTTCTATAAATTAAGAAACAAGGAAATATAACGTAAGAAAACTCCAACATTATTTTTGAACTTTACCAGTCTAACTCAATCCTCTCTTTAATTCAAGGCAAGGAATCCCTCTTATAATGGAAACATGAAGCTATGTACAAAACCTTCTAGTTTGGTTAATAATGGAAAGTTGAGATTAAACCAGAAAAGAGACAGATAAAAGTCAGCACAGTCCTTATTTTCTGTCAAGCGCTTAAGATCTGCTGCTATGGAAACTAGGAACGTAATGACCTATAAAGTAGAACTCGTCATAAAAACAAGTTAATCCTAGCAGTCAGACGAATGCCTTTGAATAGATCGCTTTCCATCTAGCGATTTCAAGTCACGTTCACACCCGAACCCTGACGGGAGAGAGGTCACGAGACTAGCATATCTCTACAGCTACTGACGCGGTTCCTTCTTCCATCAACCCACTCCTGGTGACGGAGACGCGTGCTACAACCAACCGTTGCTATAGCAACTACATCATCTTCTTCACTCCCACATCAATTAAGAACCTAATCCTGCCAGTCCTTATAATACCCTTGATCTACAAGCTCATGAATTATTCATTGTCTTACCCTAGATTGTCCCAGGGTGCACTCTGTTAACCCAGATCTCTATGGGCGGCGGTTGGCAGCTCAATATGGAGAGCGGTGTGGTCCAAACACCTTCAAAGTCCACCAGTAGCTCAGCTTTTTACGTGAAATTCCAACACGACTCTTGGTTGGATAAGGCTTTCAAATGCCTTATTCCTTTCAATTTGTCTATTTGTCTCTCTGTCAGTCACTCACTCTCTTCCTCTCTCTTTTTCTTTCTCTCTCTCTCTCTCTCTCTCTTTCTCTGCTTCAAAAGAAGTCTATGAATCTGTTTCAAGGCGTCATGCAACTGACAATGTTCCTGATGGTATCACTGCATCCTGCGATTGACTCTCCCACCCCTAGCGCCAAAAATGTCCAGGGAGTTCAGAACAGTGTCGCAGGCTTAGACGCGGATGGCGGTTGATGGGGTAGTTTGGATGACGTCATGGTCTACAAGGATAACATTGATGGTCATGTGCTGAGCATGGAATGTATTCGATCTCCGGAGCAAAACATAGACCGAGGGTCATGTGACACACTTTGATCTCGAGAGACGGAAGGTAGAAAATAGACTGAGGGTCATGTGACACACTGTGATCCTATCACCTTGTCATACCTGATGAAGAGAGAGAGAAAGAGAAAGAATGATGATCATTAAAGATAAAGTTGAGTTCTGGTAAAAAAAATAGAAAAAGATTTTGATGACTCCAGAACTTTGCAGTACACACCAATACTAACATGCTACATGATCAACTTTTTGTGATCCATTCCACACCTTTTCTTTCACAATGCATTCGGATGACCAGAACCCACCTTTATCTTTAATGATTAAACACAAACAGTATCTAATAGCTCATTCAGACTATACACAAAACATGTATAAGAACTGCATGCAAAGAATCATTGCACAGTGAAAGGGGTGAACAGACAGAAACACGTACTCTAAAGAAAATAGTATTATGAAGAGGTCCATTGACAGCTGACCAACCAATCATCATGCACACATTGCACAGTGTATACATGAGATTCATTTTCTCACAAAATGCCTGTATACTGGAAAGAGCAGGAACATTGTTGGTTAGTTTTAATTTGTATAAGTTCCCATCATCCCAATTACCTCATTACACAATAAAGAACACCATTTACATACATGTACATGTATTCCATCTTAATTAGTGCCCAACTGCCCATCAATACCTGAAGATCAGTGCATTAATTTCAATTTGTGATCAATTGATGCTCTCCTATTAAAATAATATTGCAATATACATGTACCTGTAGGTACAGTACAGCATATATTTCTGTGAGTTCAATCTATCCTTTCATTCTGTATCATACATCAGTCCCCTTTGTTCATCACAATACACAGCATGAAACTCAGCATGCATGCCTCATTATCACTATTTACCTGTCAAAACAGATTCTAATTAACCCAGGTACAATTGTACATGAAACTCTGACAATCTTGTACTGTACTTCTGGGCTTCTCTCTCGCAATCTCTTTCTCTACATACTGTACATGTCTGTCTCAGTCTCTGTCTATATTATATCTCTCACTCTGTATGTGTGTCTCTCTCTCTCACACTCTCTCCTGACAAACACTGACTCCTTTCTTTCTGTCTTGCTATTGATCAACTAATCAAAGAATAGAGGCTAATCATTAACATGGACTGCTCGGCTCTGCCTCAAATTGGCATGCCTTTTTGTATGAGCCTTTTCTGTAGTCCTTGAGTCATACATGTACACTGTACAGTAAGTACTATTAGCAATAGAAAGTGTCAAACACATCCAAATTATTGAAGGTGTTGTTCTTTCACACCAAACCAATGAATTATTGGCTGCTGCAATCAAATTATTCAATGTAAATTCAAAATTGATTGGTAACCTCTACGGCAGTGTCAAAATGTACAAATTGATTTGTTTTAGAGAGCTTTTGCGGAGATTGCCATTCAAAATAAGAATTCCTCAGTCACAGCGACTTTGGTATGGAACATGTTTTACAGTTTTCATATGAACTCTTTTTTGTTTCTCTTCCAGAGCTGTTTTAGAACCTCCCCAAGCTTAATAATACTGTGTTCCTCCTCCCTTCCCGCCCTCTTCAAAATTTTTGTATTCACTACTTGAGAGCAAGCCACACATTAGCTGCATTGACACTGCAATCAAAAACTGATAGTTTTTCTCACTTTGTAGTGTGTCATCAAAAGTTGCTAAGCTACCCATTTATAGCACGTCTAGAGTATTACGCAAACACCATCGGTTTTTTTTTAAAACGTTTTTCAAGTAGTATGTACAGTTGCGTGTATGGTCGTTTAAAAAAATAAAAAATAAAGTTTTTCTGCAGTGTAAAATGGGCCTAGTTGTCAACGACAATGCTATGATTGGATTGTTTTGTCCAGGAAACATTGATACTGTCAGACAAAGATCACAGAACTTTGCTATCCTCAAACCTACATGTACAGGAAGCTATAGGGAAGGGCAAGCCTCTGATACTCACATCCGCTCTTCATTCATTCATCTTATCTCATTCAGGTTTGAACTCTCACTTTGGTTCTTTGCAATCACATGAACTGCATTCACACTACATCAGTGACAAACTACATGTACAGTACATGTACATGTATCTGTGGCTTTAATAAACTCTCAACCATTACAGGCCTGCCAGCCCGCCCCCCCCCCCCCCCCCCCCCCTCAGTGTTATTTAGGTTACGCATATATGCATGTTCCCTCCTTTTGAAAACACCCCCCAAAGTCTGGTGTGTAAAGTCAATACGGGCCGGATTTTTGTGTACTACGAGCCGGACTTTGGTGCGTGAAAAGTACCCCTTTACCGGACATTTTGGGAACACGCATGCGGTCCCTCCGACCACGGAATGGGGGGGGGGGGGCCAGGCCTACCAGTACCTGTAGATCAAACCATGGACAGTCCATGATCGACCCAAAGAGATACAGCTAGCCTTAGAATACCTCTTAATAGAGCAATCAGAGATGATGATCAGACTAAAATCTGTCAATCAATAAATCAGTAAATCTTGGAACATCTTCTTCATGTTTGGACTTTCCTTTAGTTATTTGCAATCCAATGACATTCCTGATTCAGCCAACTTGAAGTGTCCATGTACAGTACTGTGATTTCAAAAATAAACAAATCACATAAATTTTCCAATTTCATTCAAACCTTTGCCTTTAAAGAGAAGGTTGAGTTCTGGGAAGAGGTGAAAAATAATTTGTGAGCATTACTCATTCTTAGTATGCAAGTGTGGAAAAACATCAGTTAAGCCATGTTCCCTGAAAAGCATGGCTCTTCAAATGCCTTCATATTTATATGCATGTAACATTGTAAAAATCGGGGGCCGGCTTTTTACGCCTCGTGTTCGTGTAGTCCCATATACATCTTTCTGTGCAAGTGTTTGTAACTTTACCAAGACTTGGCCACACTTCTTATCATTTTGATGATTCCAGAACCTTGCAATACACACAAATTCTTATATGCTAGATGATCAACCTTTTCTGGTCGGTTCCACACCGTTTCTTTCACAATGCAATCGCATGACCAGAACTCAACTTCATCTTTAATACCATTCTGCTTTCTTTTAGAGTACAGTAGTTGTGGATTATAAAGGTTAAATACAGGTGCTATGGACCCAATAAAATCATGCATCAAACTTAAATCTGTCAATCACTTCATGTGTATTAAAATACATGTCGTCTTTGAACTCTAACGTTGGTTGTTTGTAATCAAAGATACTACGGTACGGTGAACGGTTTTCACACTGCCTTTAATACAGTACGTCTGATGCGTCAATCCTTCTGCTACAAACATAAACAAAAACTGCACAAATAGTTGCCGTCTCCCCACGAAAATATACAAATTTGTTACAATTGTGTTTACAGCTATTGAATGCTGTCCACCATGGTTCATAGGAAGGTGAAGGCCGGTCTTCAGTCATGGGCAGCTGAAGGGCAAGTTTGACCCCTTTATCTAACAGTTCTATACATGTACATGTACATGTAGGACTGACTGGAAAGCCCACATTTATTATACCGTAAGCTCTGCACGAAACTGAAACCCATCTTCATAGATCAAGGCATCATGCTATGAGATGACACACAACCACATAGAAAGTCCACTTTAATACTTTCTGTTCTGAACTGTAGTGATGGCTTGAGCATTTGTGGTCCATGAAAAGGAGATGCTATTTCCACCCCCCCCCCCCACCCAATACCCGGCTCCCTAGATTCCCTATTCACTTGTATGTTCATGGAAACTTATTTTACAGTTACTATCGTACAATCGGCATACCATATTAACTAATGGCCCACTCAAACTGTTCATCTGGTATCGCTATCATCATCTCTCCATCATCCCATCCTAACCCATCCTCCCACCAGCCTTGCCTGAATGAGCTTCAGCTTCAGATATTCATGAGATCAATCAGTAAACCTTCAAAAAGTCACTACGAAAACTCCATCCTGGAGTGTGGTTTATTAGACTTCACCGAAATTGCACCAAATTATGCAGTGTAAATGGTTGCGCTTAAAACACTGGTGAACTACAATGTAGTCTGTTTATTTGTGTGTTTACCTGACTCTCCTTACAATGTACTTCTGCATACAGAGCAGAGACAAGTTGCCCATGCGCGCAACTCACCACCCCCCCCCCCCCAAAAAAAAAACAAAAAAACAACAACAACAACAGAATAAGCAAGCAGTAATCTTGTGAATAGATAGTGTGAATAGTAAAAATGGTTCCAAATTATTTTTTTCTGGAATGTAAATGGGCCTCCATAGTCTAGTGCCCAACAGGCAGGGAGGGAGGGATATGAAACAGGAGGTAAGGTGAGAATGTTGATGTTTATCTCTTCCCTCTGTCAGGTCTCACTTTCAGTGTCTGCTATTTTAATTGCAGTTGGGTCAGGATGATGAACCCCATCGACCTCAGATTGAAAGTACAAACTGATTTTACAGTTGGAAACTGTGATTCATACACTACTGATAGGCATACAGGCATTCTAAATTCAGCGATGCCCAGGCTAAAAGTTGGTTTCCATACCGTCTATATTTGAAGCAAAATATTTATAAGCAAACGAACTGATTATACTGATATAATTGCAACTTTTTATTATCATGTTTATGTTTAATCTGTTTGTATTTTACTTTTCTTGAATAAAGAAATGATATAAACAACAACTACAAAAAATATCAGCATTTTCTTGAGCACATTTTTAGACAGGTTCTATTTTTGGGGGAGGACTGTAAAGGGCATAGTCCATATAAAGTGATTACCTCTATAAAAAAAACACCTTCTATAAAGAGTCAAAGACCAGTTGTTTAATTTCCGTTAAAATCACATTAAGACATGAAAGAGAACATGTTTACATATCCTATTAAGACCATTATTTTCAATTACAATTGAAACGTTGTTTCTAATTTATTCGACGGAAACCAGTGTACAAAAATCACATTCTGAATATCCTGTGAAAATTTTCCTTCAGGGAGCCTGCGTATAATGATCATCTGCTTAATATTGAGGTTGATTTCTGTGTCTCCATTCAGTATTCTTTCCATACGGATTTGAGATGCTATATTGAGTTACTCATTGGCATCATTGCGCCTACA